ACTGGAAGTTTTTAAGAATAGACTGGGCAACCATTTGTCTGAAATAGTATAAGGTTTCCTGCCTGAGCAGGGGGTTGGACTAGAAGACCTCCAAGGTCCCTTTCAACTCTATTATTATTATTATTGTTGTTGTTGCTGTCATTGTTGTTGTTACCACTAAATAATCTATTAGCAAACTACAGCTCTTCATTCTATTAGCAAACTACAGCTCTTCATTCTCAAGGAATTACTTTTAAAAGTCTGAGGATAAACTAACACATAATGCAGAAGCAAAGGTCATATATTTGATATATTCAAATATTCCAGGAATAGCAATGTGTGCCCAGCATTTCATAGATGGCAACACCACACATATCCATACATCAGACTAGCTCTATACATTCAGTACATAGCATTACTTGCAAGCAAGGGCAGTAGCAAGAGCTCTCTAAGCCCTTGAGAACAAATGCAGCCACATAGTCCAGCTTCTTAATCTCTTGATATGCTACCTGATCTAGCTCAAGCCCATCAGTAGAAAACCAAACCAAATCCAAGTGCCTAATGTAGCTTCCCTCAAGCTCCTGCAATGGAAATTCCCTTCCTCTCTCCCCATTTTCAAGCAAAATTGAGGAAAGACAGGAGGAGGAGGAGGAAGAGGAGGAATATTCAGAATTTTTTATTTTGTGATTTTTGCCCAAGGAAGCTACATTTAATAGAACTTTTACCCTACTGTAAAACCATACCTAATTTATAGTATAACTGTTTTTAAGAGAATTGGAATGCATAGATTTAAAAACAGCCTATCCCCAATATTTAGAAGGACACAACTCCAGAGTGTGCCAATGAACAAAAAGCCAGTTGAGTCTACATAGATGAACTTTACCTCAAACAGATATACACTACTAATACCAGAAGGAAACCAGGAAATGACATATATCAGGGGTGTCAAACTGCCGGCCCACAGGCCACATGCATCATAGCGAAACCGCGCCCACCCCATTGCCAGCAATGGCAAAAAAAAGTCACGATACGTCGCGACACGTCATGTGACGTTGTGAGTTTGACACCCCTGACATATATCAACAGTTCCTAGGTTCATCTCTCTCCAAAAGAGCATTTTATTGCTCATCTTCACAATTTTTTCAGTTCTTATTGTCAATCCTGACTCAGTCTTACGAAGGATAAAGAAACTAAATCAAAAAGTTCATTCCCAAAAAAAGACCAATGTGAGAATCCACTGAAAAAGCTTGAATCTCTATTGTCAAAACCTCTACTTGAAATCATCACCATCACCACCATAAGCTTTCTCCCCCATGACTCAGCTGCACTTTGCACACTTGAAGTATTTATAAGAAGCTACACTGAGCATGCTCAGTTGTTGTGGTTGTTAAAAAAATAAAAAAAAAACTAACATACTTCTGAAATCAGCAATGCATTTTTCCTGACTAACGGTATTAGAACTTTTATACTGAACTGAGATGGGGAAACTTGGGCCTGTGGCTTGAACCCAAAGGCCATTCTCTCCCTCACCAATCAAAGAAACATTTGCAGTATTATGAACACCTGCAAAGCACTCCTGCTCCAGGTGTGTCCTGCATCTTTTCCCTGAAAATTCCCTAGGTGACAATGTTAAGAATCTTTTAGGGAAGGCTTTATCCCTGGGGCTCAGTGGTGGGATTCAAATATGTGAACAACTGGTTCTTAGTGTGGATGCCGCTTCCAGAAGTCCATTCTGGGCCTGGGCAACAAAAAATTAACTACTGGTTCTGCTGAACTGGTACGAACTGGCTGAATCCCACCACTGCCCTGGCTTCCTGAAGCTGCTCTTCCCTGGGAGCTGGACGACTTCTCTAAAGGCAGGGACTGAAGTTGAGTCTAAGGCAGGGGTCCTCAACCTTGGCAACTTTAAGACTTGTGGACTTCAACTTCCAGAACTGGGAGTTGAAGTCCACAAGTCTTAAAGTTGCCAAGGTTGAGGACCCCTGGGTAAGGCTTTCAACTTAGAGGAGGAGATTGAAAGGAGCCAGGGTTTTACCCAAGTGAGAATCCATTCCCTGGTAATGTCCTAGAGTGCTCAAAGCACTGGCACACATGATCCCCATTCTTTTAAGAAAGGAAATCACTGTTCTTTATTTCAGATAGGAAATCTAAGGCTACAGTAAGAGTGTGGTTTGTCTAATAAATCCAAGGCAGACAGGAAGCTTGAATGAGCAGCCTCTCAATTTGCTACTCACAATGCAATCTTATGCAGGTCTACTCAAAAGTTAGCCCAAGTTTATTTATATAAGAAAAAAATGTGTTGCCTCTCAGCATTGCTTCCAACACAGTTTACACAAACTAGGCAAAGTATAAAGCATCTTAAAATATCACTCTAGAAATGTTTGAAACCTAGGTTTTATCGTGTAACAATGATTCCACACATTGAGTATTATCTCAGAAAACATACCTCCCCCTTTTTCAGGTTGCTATCAGCCTAACCTCAAACATTTACTTGATCTAAAAAATATAGCAGCCCTTCCAATCTGGCACTCTTTTAGAACAAAATGTCCAAAATTCCTTAGTTGCAAACCCAAAACATTTGAAAGGTGCCAGATTGGGAAAAGCTAGTGTTCAAGACTACAGACTTTAGTACTCTGAATATATTAGTATTTTATAGTAATACATTACAATATATAATATAGTAGTATTATATGGCAAGCTAAGTGTGAATTGTGCATATATTTAGATCAGTATAAGATTTTCATTGGCAGCTTTTGCAGATATTTTATCATTCTTGAACTGCTTCACTGTTTAGCCCAGTGGTTTTCAATTTTGGCAACTTTAAGATGTGTGGACTCTAGACAAGTATAAAGAATTTGGATAAGTCAACACCTTCTCTCATATTTTAATTTTTTAAAGAAGTCTCTTCCTCCCATATGTCACCCCTATCAATAATCAAATTACAAAACCACTATCCTTTAGTTTGTATTACTGAGGTCTTCCAGCCCCATGCTTGAGCAGGAGAACCTATAGTACTATTTCAGACAAGGGACTGTCTAGTCCAGGGGTAGTCAACCTTGGCTCTTTTATGACTCGTGGACTTCAACTCCCATGCTGGCTCAGGAATTCTGGGAGTTGAAGTCCACGAGCATAAAAGAGCCAAGGTTGACTACCCCTGGTCTAGTCTCTTAAAAATCTCCAGTGATGGAGCGCCCACAATTTCTGAAGGCAAGCTGTTCCACTGGTTAATTGTCCTCACTGTTAGGAAGTTTCTCCTTAATTCCAGGTTGCTTCTCTCTTTGGTCAGTTTCCAACCATTGTTTCTTGTCCTGTCCTCTAGTGCTTTGGAGAATAGTTTGATGCACTCCTTTGTGGTAGCCCCTCAAATACTGAAATTCTGCTATCATGTTGCCCCTGTTTCTTCTTTTCTTTAGACTTGTTAAAGAAAAAAGAAGTAGAGACTTCAATCCCAGAATTCCCTAGGCAGCACGCTAGGAATTGAAAGTCCACACATATCTTAAAGTTGCCATGGGTTGAAAAAATCTGGTTTAGCCTATCACAAAATGCATATATAAAAGGAGGTTTAAATGGATGTGTGCAAAGCCTCCAGTTCAGACCTTCTCTTGGCCATAAATTGCAAGTTCTAAGCAGTTGTGCTTTACTCAGCCATGGTTTAATGAATGCGACAAAACTAGTTAGAAGTGTACCACATAATTCTCTATAAACTATCATTTTCAAATCACAATAGCTCGATCAGCATAGCATGTTATGCCAGTACCAAATAAATGTGTATGCTTATGTGAACTAGCCAATAATTACCATTCTCTCTTAAGCTAAATCTTCACTGTTGACAATAAGGAGATAATAACATGGAAATACATAACAGGGCTGATAAAAATTATTGGGATAATATATGTGAAGAAAAATCTAAAATACATTATATAATCTAAAATACAAGACATTATATAAATGTCATGCCTTGTAAATTTTTGTCAGTATCTGCACAAGGATTTTGCAAGGAGGTTCCAGAGAACTTAAAAAGAAACTTTGTATATGGATGTCAAAACTTTTTTTCACTGTTGAGAAAAATGACTTTTTTTTTTTTGCTCTTACACAGAGGACAAACAATTTGTAGTCCTCTAGTGCTGTTGAACTTCCAGACTCTTTAATCACAGGTAGTGTGAAAAACAATTGTTTCTAAAAAATCAATTTCCTCCATCTCTTCTCTAACACATGCACGATGAACACTTAATTCTTTTTTGCCGCATATCATGGGTTTGCTACATGGATACTCCAATAATGTAATCCTTATTCATAGGGGAAATACAATATAAACAAATTCTAAAGTATCAATGTAAACATGCACATATTTTCTATAGTAAAATAATGAATATTTCAACCTATTGGCAATGCCACAAAGAACTACCAGAAGTTTTTGCTGAAAAACACATCAGTCCCAAGTTCTTATGAAAGAATGGGCTTCCCCAAATTGCTAAAACTCATGTATGTCATATAAATACATACACACAAGTACACATGCACACCCTCAGAGGAGCAAAGGCAAGAATTATTCAACATGCTTCACAAGGTAACATTACGCTTCTTCTGCACACTGCTGAAAGACAGAGGAAAACCTATCCCCCCTCCCCCAAAAAAAGCCTAGGAAATCCAGACTCTACGTGACCTGACTTAGTTATTTGACAGCAGGTTTTATGGGAGGGGAAAAAAAGACATTTACAATCATTCATGCTACCCGGAGTTATAGCAAAGCTTACACTGAATGAGCTTGCAGAGGAAAAAGTATCATCAGGAAGTTACTCCCAATTGTTGCCATTAAGAGGGTTGTTTTGGAAGAGCGATTTCTATACAGCATCCAAAATTTAAAAAAAAACCAAAACCATCCAACCCACCACCTTTCGAATATGACTATGCATCCTCATATACATCAGAGAACAATGTGGCATTCAAAATGGTCTGGATGCACCAAAAGGGAGGGGAGGGGAGGAGGAAAGAGGAGACAAGGCGGGGGGGGGGGAACTCACCAGGGCTGTTGGCTTCATTTTCCAGAACGTGCAGTTCTGTGCAGTCGGCCAGGGAATGCTCAAGGCAGAGCTGAAGGAAACGGGCCTGACTCCGAGTCACTCGCTTCAATAAGGAAAGCAAAGCAACTGTCTGTTCGCACTCATTCCAGCCTTTGAACCAACCTGCCAATACTCCAACCTGGTCTCGAAACATCATGGTTGGTGTGAGTGAATGTCTGCATGCAATATCGAGAACAGGAGAGGAAAAAAAAATCTGTGTGGGGCACTCCCCGATATGTTTTTTTGCAAGGAAGAAAAAGTAGGAGAATCCCTTAGAAGTTCCTTTTTTACTTCCCACCCACCTCCCCTTTTTTAACCTCTATTTTACAACGTTGTCACTGCAGAAATAGGACAGATATTCGAAGACAGATTTGGAGGTTTGCTTGCTCTTCTTCTTCTTCTTCTTCTTCTTCTTCTTCTTCTTCCTCGCGTGTCCAAAATGCCAGTGGCTGCTTCTTAATTCTGCCAAAGACGATGTCACATGGTGGCAAGGGAAAACAGACACACTGCGTGGTTTCTGTGTGTGGACTTAGACAGCTGTATTTCTCAACAAGGCACAGCAATGTGTGAAGATGTTGTGAGGGGATATGGATTGTGTAGCTGTTTTCTTCTGGGGGTTTTGCTTCCCCCTCCCTCTTTGCTCTTTTCCAGTCTGGTTATTTTAGCCCAGGGCTGGCACTGGCTCTCCTTCCTCCGGCAGCTTTCTGGACCATCCACAGTCACAGCATTCCTTGCTAAGGGAAGTGGAGAAAATAGAAGCCTTCACAACTGTTGGAGGGGAGGAGGGGATGGAGAAAGAGAGAAAAAGAATTTTGCTGTGAGATGAGATACTCTGAAAGGCAAACACTATGATTCAGCATGACAAACAAGCGTCTCACTTCCTAATATGACAGAAGGGAAATTTGGGATCAGCAATCACCGAGAGCAAGAGGGTGGGCCAGGGAGGGAGACAATGGCTTGGGGCTGTGTGTGTGGGGCAGCAAAGGGTTGTGTCTTCTTTTTTTGTTAAAGACCACCCTCCCAAGAAATAACAGGTTCTGTGAAAAAGGAAGAGATGAGCACAGAGATACGGAGACACTAAAAATGCAGCCCACACACAGGCAGCAGAGGGAGTGATGGAGAGGTGCGGGCTTCACATCAGAGAGATTTAAAAGGAACCTCCCTGCTACACAGCAGTGAGGAGGACAGAGCTCCCTGTTGCTTATTGTACATTCTAAGCAGTCTCTCCCCCCCCCCCAAAGATAGGAGCGTACCTGGCTGGGAGAGACAGGGCTGCAACTGATCATTCATGCACAAGGAGAAAAGGGGGTGGAGGTGGGGGGAGAGAACTTAACACTGCAGCTATAGATAGCTAATGCAAACCAGCCCAGGTTCTGGTGCTCCCCCCTCCCTCCTCCCTCCTTCTCCTAAGGAGAAGGGCTGCTGCTTCAGCTACAGAATCCAAGCATCTCCCAACCAGTCACCACCAGCCCCCGCTGGATGTAGGCTCCAAGCAAGCAGCAGGCAGGAGACAAAAATAAACTCTCAGGCACCCCCCCCCCTTCCTTCCCCAAGACCACAGCACACACGGTTCAGAGAAACGGGAGAGGGAGGGGGGAAGGGGGTGGTGACCCAAGGAAACTCACTACAGATGCTCGTTTTCACACTGCTTTAAAAAAAAAATATGGGATGAGCACCAGCTGTCCCCCCTTTCTCCAATCAGCGTTCACACTCACAGACCGTCCTGCATGCACTTCACACACTTATATTCAAATCTATCGCACAAGGTGGCGTCCATCTCTCATTTTCTCTGCGGGTTGAAATCTCTACCAAGGGCAGCTTCTTCCAGGGGAGGGGGGGGGGCTGCAAATCTACAGAAAAGGCTCCCCCCCCCCCAACCTAGCTCACATGCTCCAGACTACAACTCCCATCGCTGCAGCCGGGATGGCCATGGCTACGGAAGCAGCCCTTGGAATCCTTACACTTCTGGAGAGTTCCAAGGTGAGGACTACCGCTTGAGAGTCTATGCCAGGAAGGGCAATGGGGGGAGCCGGCATCCCCCAAGCACAGACGGGTGCAGAAAAAAATAATTGTCCCAGAAAAAGCATTTTACTGTAATGGGCTTCGATACCGTCGAAGCAGGCGAGTCCTCAAGAACTAGATGCCTTCTAGAAGGGGAAGCCCCACCATCCCCAAATGACCTGCCCGGAAACTTTCAGGGTGTCGGAAGGAGAAGCAACAACCTTTGCCCTTCCCCCCCCCCCCGCCGCCGCCCCTGCCTGTAACAGGAGGCGAGCACCGGTCCCAAATAAACTTCGAGCCCGGGACTGCACGAGCTCTCCCAGCCAAACGCAAACAAGAGGGACCCGGGCACCCCACCCGGCACTGCCCGCGCCCTCAGGCGGCTCTCTACTCCTGGCCACAGACCTCCGCCAAGCTCCTCTCCGCCTCCCAGCCGCGCCCCCCTGGCTCCGCGTCCTCCGAGCCCCGCGACAGACTGGCGTCCCCGGCTTCATGCCGGGAATCCCCTCGCGCCCGGGAGAACGCCGGGCTCGCTCCTGACGGACAGGAGGAAGGGCGCCGCAGAGGAAGGGCGCTCGCCCGTCGTTCCGCACGACTATCCCGCTTCCTCGCCCGCCCGCCCGCCTCCCTCGCGCTATGCGGAGGAGCGCCCACCTGGCTGCCGCGCGCCCTCTCGCTCGCCGTCCTTCTCTTGCCGGCTTTGGCTCGACCCTTTACTGAGGAAGAGGAGGCAGAGGAGCCGGCGACGGAGGTGGCGGTGGAGGAGGAGGAGGCGGCGGCGTCGGCGTCTGGCGGTGCCCGGGCAGGGCCATGGCGAGCCCGCGCACCCGCGAAGGCGACCCCGGCGGCCCGGAGCAAGAGCTGCGCGGCGTCCGGGCGCGCCGTCGGACCCGCGTCTCTCCCCGCCTGCTTCTCCGGCACTAGTGAGCCGCGCGCCCCGCGGAGCCCCCGCTCCTCACATGCTAGTCATTAGCACAGCCCATGACGTCATGGCCTCGGCAGCGGAGGTGCAACGCCCCCTCCCCGAGGAGCAGGGGGCGCCTCGCATTCCTCCGCCGCTGACTCAGCCCCAGGCGAGGCGAGGCCGTGGTGGCTTTGCGCGGGGCGCGATTGGCTGCAGGGGCGGAGCGCAACTCGATTCCACCCCAGCCGGGAGCGCGGCAGAGGAGGAGGAGGAGGAGGAGGGGCTCCAGCTGCTCGCTGCTGTCATTCCCGACGCGAGGAGACTTTGCGTTTGCGAACAGGCGGCTTGTTGCGCTTCGTCTCGCGCGCCCGCACTTTTGCTGCCTTGCAAAGGACACGCCCGTCCGCAAAAGCCCCCCCCCCCGCTCACCACGTCTGTTCGAAATGGATAGCCGCCCACTTCTGGCCCAATACCTGCCTACAGGTTGGTTCTCCTGGGTGGCACATGGCTCCGAGATGTCCCACTTCCCTCTTCCTAACGCGTACCACCGCCCCCCTCGAAATGGTGTTTGCGAAAGCAGGCCGCTAAAAAACACACACACAAAAAAAAAAAACACCTCGCACCCTTACACAAACCTGGTCTTGGACGAGTGAGCTGTAACGAGGCACGAGCGAGAGTTTCGTGCCTGCCGAGAAAGAAAGCCCGTCAAACCTCCCAGCAACATTGGAGTGCCTCCTCTAAACGTTGCTGCTGCATTGCAGATTGTGCTTCTCTGGTTGAAGATCGGGAGATATGTGCGGGGGTTGCGAAGAAGTCCACACACGTCCTAACGCACCCAACGAGCGGCTGGCGCAGACCTGCAAAATTACCCCAGGTTCCTCACACGGCAATGGGTTAGCCCTGGTAAAGGGAACACCTGCCTCAGGTGTGTGCAAGCGGGCGGGCGCATGTATGCCTGTGTAGGGAGTGAGGTGAGAGCTTAGTGCCTACTGAGAGTCACTCATAACTTCCATAAAGGGGGTGATTGGTTACCAGCTTCCTAAGGTGATGGGTAAGAGGACTGCAGACTTGTACCACCTTAGTAACACCTAGAGTGGTAATAATTACATCAGTGAAACCTATGAGAAGCTATAGACTTTCGTCTGCAAAACCAGACTGTCATGTCAAGGTTCCAAGACAGTCTTATATTGTAGCACTGCAAGATACTTTATCTACAGCCAGCTCACAGTCCCTTCTTGCTTTATTATCTTTTGTCCTCAGAGACTCTGCCAACTTTCTCTGCTTGATCTATGCCATGTTCCAATGACNGGGGGGGGGGGGGAGAGAGAGAGACAGAGATGGACATGAGCTTCAAAAACCACCTTTTGGGTAAATGGATAACTGTTCTTTTTTGAGTTATAAGGCATGTGGGTGAACAGCTTCACCTCTGTGTAGCTTTAAGGAGTGTCTCTGATTGACCGCTATGCTAGCCCCAAACCAGAACAACCTGCAAGAGAAGGGCTTTGCCAGGTCTCTTCTTGGAGAATAGAGATAAGACCTGGATTGCAGTAAACCTATGGAGGGCGAAAACTGAAAAGATAATTCTTATGCATATTTGTGAAAAAATATTCTTGTTTAGTAGGTACTCTTGGTAAAGTTTTGTGGAGTTTTAGAGAAGCAGAGTTACGATATTTTGCAAAGGCTGAAGTCTGTTGTTACTGTTAATTAATTTATTTATTCATTCAATTTCTATACCCCCCCCCCAGCTCAACCAAGTGGTTCTGGGTGGCTTATAATTCTATAATTCTAAAATAATTAAAACAATAAAAAAATGAAAAAGTAAAAACATTCAGCAAATAAATATTTATTGCTGCTCATTCATATCAAAGATTGTGCAAAAGGCTAGGAGCTGGTTTTTAGCCAGGAAATACTGCACGTACATTGTTATTCATTTATTAGGAATGGTCTTAAAGACCTCTTCCTAGGTTCTGATTGGTTTTACTGGGTGCATTCCAGGTTTTCAAGGCCTTCTTCATCTGAACTGCAAAAATGAGTTTTTCCATTTCTCTTTATTCCCATCTACTGATTTTCTGCATTTCTGGAGTTCAGATTTGGTACCCCTACTTCTTTCTTATATACATACAGATAATCAAAATGAAAGACGTTTACAAAAAGATTGCATATTTTTTCTCAAACCCATGCTTTAGAAATTAAAAAGACATAATTCTTAAAAAAAAACTGGTGGCCTGAATGGAATAAGAATAGGACATTTCTGTTCT